TGTGTCAAAATGTCTCCGGCAGCTTCATAAATCTGCCCCATCAACAAATCTTCAACCAACAAACTCCACAAAGGAGAAACATTCTAACATGAACAATTTATCCACAACGATCAAGGGAAAACCGAGGGAACACTGAGACTTTTGGTCCATTTTGAGCCGATCTTTTTCTCTTTTTTAGCCAAACTGGAGCCACCTAATGCCTCCGCTCAATTTCATTTCTCTCCAGAGACTAGGTCAGGCATCGGAATAAAGAAGACAGTTTGCAAGAACAATGGAAGTGTGAGTTCGGGCATCAGCCAATCAGCGAAGAGTCAGACATCCTGTTTTGGCAACGATTCCCGAGATCGAGGATTTAAAGCCAGAACAAAGAGAATGTTTGGTGAATTTTATCTCGGGGAAAGATGTTATTGTTCTTCTTCCTACAGGATTTGGAGCTTTACAAACGTCACGACCAAACAGCAGCGATTGGTTAAATAAAAAAAGTACCCGCCTCCTGTCGAGCGAACGAATCCTAATGTTGTGAGGTCACACAGTTTACACCAAGTGAAACCATCTAATGAATCAGGCCATAACTCTGCCCCATCAAATCTTCCATTTTTGGTCCATTTTGAGCCGATTTTTCACTCGTGCAACTGTTTTTTTATCCAGGCTGGTGTCACCTAGTGCCTCTGCTCAATTTCATTTCTCTCCAGCGAGTAGGTCAGGAATCAGAGTAAACTCGACGGTTTACAAGAACAACAGAAGTGTGAGTTCAGGCACCAGAAAATCAGTGAAGAGCTGTGAAGCACCACTGAACGTCCCGGCGCATTACATACGTCACGACCAAACAGCAGCGACTGGTTAACAGTGTTGTGGAGTAACAGATTACATGTACCAGAGTAATCAGAGTACAAAGGATGAGTAACTGTATTCAGTTACAGTTTCTGTTTCAGTGAGTGGTAATTGGATTACAGTTACTTTGTTGAAATAAATGGATTACACAGAGGGATTTAACTGTTTTCACATTTGGGGCTAAATCCCATTTTTTTCTTCTTTTTTTCCCGTAATTCCTCTCATTGCTGGAAACTAAACCAGGACTAAACCAGGTCTAAACCAGGACTAAACTAGATCTAAACCAGGTCTAAAACCAGGTCTAAACCAGGACTAAACTAGATCTAAACCAGGTCTAAACTAGATCTAAAACAGGACTAAACCAGGACTAAATCCTGCTGTGTGGACGTGTTTTTTCTTCTATCAGTAATATTTTTAATTTGGTTCAGTAAAGTCTGTTTTTTTTAATTTTCTTTTATCAGACAAAACTTCTTATGTTACGATTTCCTCGTCTTTGCTTCTCTACAACAAATCAAGTAATCCAAAGTATTCAGATTACATTACTCACTTTAAGTAATTTAATGGATTCTGATACAAACTACATTTTGGGGGATGTAATCTGTAATCTGTAGGGGATTACATTTTAAAAGTAAACTTCACAACACTGCTGGTTAATTAAAAAAAAGTATCCGCCTACTGTTGAACGAACAAATCCAAATGTTGTGAGGTCAGACAGTTTCCATGAAGTGAAACCATCTGATGAATCAGGCTAAAAATCTGCCCCATCAAATCTTCAATTTTTGGCCCTTTTTGAGACGATTTTTCACCCGTGCAACTGAGTTTTGTCTTGATCGTGTGTCGTGCTTCGTGTCATAAACATGGCGTAACGAGAACCGATGAACTCCTCGTGCCCAGCTCCAGATCGACAATCGTTGGTCGCAAGAAAATCAAACCTGTTCAAATCCAGTCGCCTCTCGTGACGGTTTTCGCTCTGTTGAAGTCGTTCGTTCAGTGTGAGAACATGAATCGTGAGCCGTGAACTTTTAAACCCTGTGATTTGGTCGTACAGTTTGAGTGAAACTATCGAAAATATCCCACAGTGTTCGTCCGGCATAAGAAAAACTAAAGCTTAAAGACGAGCATTAACGAACTACTGAACAAAACTAACATTACGATCGTGAATAAAACAGAAGCAACTCAGACTGATTCTACAATTAAAATAAAAAAATCGATTTCATGATGTCGATATTTGTGCATTTCGAGTGTTAGAAATGTTCACAGAAGTTTGACGTTCAGTGGATCAGGTCTTTAAGTCTCATTAAACAGTTTATCCGAAAACAAGAAGTTGGAAAGTGAAAGTGAAAGTGAAAGGTTCTTGAATTTGTAGTTTTCAGAAATAAAAATGTCAAAGTAAAGAAAAAAAAAGCAGGATAGAGAGAAGAGAGAGAAGCTGAAAGAGAGGAGAGAAAGGAGAGCACAGGAAAAAGACGGAGAGAGAGAGAGGGGAAGAGGAAAGAGAGGAAGTGAGGTAAAGATGGACGACGGCAGAGCGATAGAGGAGGAGGAGAGAGGGAGGAGAGAAGAGAGCAAGAAAGAGAAAGAGATGTGGTTAAGGGAGGAGAGAGATGGAGGAAAAGGTAAAGAGAATCGGAGGGAGACAGAGAGAGAGAAGCAGAAAGAGGAGGAGGAGATGGAGAGAGGGTGGAGCGTGTTTTTGATATTTTCTCTTTCGTTTCTTGTCGTTTTCAGATCTCTCCGTTCTTCACAGCGGGTCGTCTCTGTTGTTATAAATAAACAGTAAATCAGTAAATATAGACTCGCCGTGTCTCTACAGAACTCAGCTCGTGTTCAACACTCCACACTCATGTGACGGACGCTAACTGTACGCACTGCTCTGTCTCACGCTTTCCTAAACTTTCATCTGACAAAAGTGAAAAAACGCATAGCACACTCAGATGGCCGATGTCCAAACTTTAATCTGACTCATACTGTACTGTCGGATACTTTTTGGTGTTTTTTTCTATGCTTTTATGGTATTGCTTGGGTACTACTTTGGTACTTTTTAGGTGCTGTATTTTTTGAGTGCTGTTTGGATACTGTTTGCGTTTTTTTTGGTTATGTTTGGGGTAATTTTTGAGTACTGTTTACATACATACTGTTTGGGGTACAGTTTGGGTACTGTTTGGGGTATTTTTTGAGTACTTTTTGGGTACTGTTTGGGGTATTTTTTGAGTACTGAACAGTACCCAAAAAATACCCCAAACAGTACCCAAACCGTACCCCAAACAGTATGTAAAGAGTACTCAAAAAATACCCCAAACAGTATGTAAAGAGTACTCAAAAAATACCCCAAACAGTATGTAAAGAGTACTCAAAAAATACCCCAAACAGTATGTAAAGTGTACTCAAAAAATACCCCAAACAGTACCCAAACCGTACCCCAAACAGTATGTAAAGAGTACTCAAAAAATACCCCAAACAGTATGTAAAGAGTACTCAAAAAATACCCCAAACAGTATGTAAAGAGTACTCAAAAAATACCCCAAACAGTATGTGAAGAGTACTCAAAAAATACCCCAAACAGTATGTGAAGAGTACTCAAAAAATACCCCAAACAGTACTCAAACATTACCAAAGAGTTTGGGTATTTTTGAGTACTTTCTGTGTACTGTTTGGGGTATTTTTGAGTACTCTTTACATACTGTTTCAGCACTTTTTGGGTACTTTTTCTGTACTGTTTGGGTACTTCTTAATTTAACTTAATTTTTGAGTAATAAAGACTTAAAGACTTAATTTTTGGGTAATTACTGGGTACTCTTTGGATATTTTTTGGGTAATGTTTGGGTACTTTTTTGTACTGTTTTGGTAAGTACTGTTTGGAGTATTTTTGGGTAATATTTGGGGCAGTTTTTGAGTATTTTATGGGTACTGTTTGGGGGCTGTTTGGGGTATTTATTGGGTATTGTGTGGGTACTGTTTTTGTACTTTTTGGATACTGTTTGGGTACTTTTCCTGTACTTTTTTTGGTACTTTTGAGTACGGTTTTGGTACTGCTTGGGTTCTGTTTGGGTATTTTTTGTGTACTGTTTGGGTACGTTTTTGGTACTGTTTTGGTATTTTTTGGGTTCGGTTTAGGTACTTTTTGGGTACTGGCTGTGTAATTTTTGATTAATGTTTGTGTACTTTTGAGTACTGTTTGGGTACTGTTTAGATACTGTTTGGATATTTTTGGGTCCTGTTTGGGTACTTTTTCAGTACTGTTTGGGTACTTCTTGAGTAATTTTTGAGTAATAAAGACTTAATTTTTGGGTAATTACTGGGTACTCTTTGGATAATTTTTGGGTAATGCTTGGGTATTTTTTTTGTACTGTTTTGGCAAGTACTGTTTGGGGTATTTTTGGGTAATGTTTGGGGTAATTTTTTGTATTTTTTTGGGTACTGTTTGGGGTATTTATTGGATATTGTGTAGGTACTGTTTATGTACTGTTTGGGTATTTTTCTTGTACTTTTTTTTGGGTACTTTTGAGTACGGGTTTTGGTACTGCTTGGGTACTGCTTGGATTCTGTTTGGGTATTTTTTGTGTACCGTTTGGATACTTTTTGGGTCCTGTTTGGGTACTTTTTCAGTACTTTTTTGGTAAGGTTTAGGTACTATTTTGGTACTGTTTAAATACTGTTTCTGTACTTTTTTGGTACTGTTTGGGTGCTGTGTGTTTACTGTTTGGGGTATTTTTTGGGTACTTCTTCGGTACTGTTTGGGTACTTTTTGAGTAATTTTGGGGTAATTACTGGGTACTCTTTTGGTAATTTTGGGGTGTTGTTTGGGTAGTTTGGGTACTTTTCCTCTATTTTTTCGGGTACTGCTTACATACAGTTTAGGTACTCTTTTGGGTGCTTTGTGGGTACTGTTTGGGTAAAGTTTTGGGTACTGTTCAGGTAGTATTTAGGTTCTGTTTGGGTGTTTTTGGGGTACTGTTTACATACTGTTTGGGTAAAGTTTTGGATACTGTTTATGTACTGTTCGGGTACTGTTTGAGGACTGTTCGGGTACTTCTTGGGTACTGCTTACATACAGTTTAGGTACTCTTTTGGGTGCTTTGTGGGTACTGTTTGGGTAAAGGTTTGGGTACTGTTTGAGGACTGTTCGGGTACTTCTTGGGTACTGTTTCGGGTCCTGTTTGTGCACTGACCTGGGTGCGCAGGCGGTCGGTCTCCTCCTGATACTCCTGCAGTTGTCTCTTCCACTGCTCCACACTGGAGTTGGCTTCGTGCAGCGCCTCCACCAGTTTGGCGTTACTGTCCTGCAGCGTGAAGAGCTCCGCCTCCAGGTTCAGCTCACACATGGACCTGAGGAGACCACGGACAAGACGTTTATCTCACAGAACAACAGAGGCTCAAGGAAAAAACACAACACAAATAAGTGACGCTAATAGTCCAGTCAGGTCCATGAGGTCTTCAGTGTCTCGATACAACAGTTTTAAAGAACAGATTCTACGTGCAATACTGATTCCAATCGGTCTCTTTTATCGTTTTTTATGTAAATAATAATAATCACAGTAAAGTGAGAAGATAAGAATCCTTTTTAACCTTGCAGTCACTTCTGGATCCAAAGCTCACACCTCCACGTCCAGCCCCTCGGTCACTTTATGCTCAGAGGTTTGCACTGGCCTCACTTCCCCCCGAGGAGCCACAAGAGCACGACAGAAACTCTCCCACTGACCTGGACGTCCCACATGAGATCACAGACCCTCATGGACTTTTCTTGGGTTTGGATTTGAGTACTGTTTGGGTACTGTTTAGGTACTATGCGGGTACTGTTTGGGTACTCAAAAAGTACTTTTTTACTGACTACTTTTTAAGCACTTTTTGGGTTCTGTCTAGGTACTGTAAAGCCCAATTCATGGTCATGCGTCTGTGTCGTGTCAGAGACTCTGCCTTCTTCTTGGAACCCTCCACTGAGCGTCTGCATCAACCGACCAACACCTCCGAAATGTTCTAACTCCACGTCAGTATGCAGACGCAGACAGTAGGGTGTAACGGTACATGTATTCATGCTGAACTGTGTCTGTACAGGACGTTCGGTTCGTGTTTGTGTGTGTGTTTACAGTCCTGCTCTACATGTGCAGCGACACAGAGGCTCGACTCTTTAATATTCACGAGGAACTTGTCCGTGACTGGGGCAGTGGTTCATGCTGCACTTTACAACAACTGATAACAACAACTGTCCCCCCGCCTTGACAACGTTCCACCAAACCCCCTGAAAAATCTGCAGATTGAGTAAAACTTCAGGCTGGAACTTTACTTTTTGAAAAGTTTTGTTTATTGGAATTCATTTTTTATAATATGTCAAACATTTGTTGCTTATTTGAGAATATTTTACTTCACTTATTAGTTTTACCAAGCAGCACTTTGCTTTTATTTTATTTTCCCATTTGTATAATTGTTGGCAAATTGTTGGTTTAATAAAAACACAAATAAACAACCATGACGTCAAAACTGAGGTACGTACGAACCGTAATTTCAGTACCGTTACACACAGTAAAGGCTGTGATTTGTCGCCTCTACAGACATTTCCGGTTCTCCACTTTCCCGCTTCAGTTTGTAAACACGAACGCCATTTTTAAACCCCGCCTCCTAACGTTGTGGCGGTGAATTATTTCACGGCGCAAAGACGTAAATCAAAAACAACAACGACAAGGCGACAGCGGCAGCGTGAGTTGAGTGGAAACAGAAATATAATTCAGTCTTAAGAGTCAGAAAAAACAGGTCTGAACCAGGACTAAAACAGGTCTAAACCAGGTCTAAACCAGGTCTAAAACAGGGAACCAGGTCTGAAACCAGGACTAAAACCAGGTCTAAACCAGGTCTAAACCAGGTCTAAACCAGGACTAAACAGGTCTAAACCAGGTCTAAACCAGGTCTGAAACCAGGTCTAAACCAGGTCTAAACCAGGTCTAAACCAGGTCTAAACCAGGTCTAAACCAGGTCTAAACCAGGACTAAAACAGGTAAAACAGGTCTGAAACCAGGTCTGAACCAGGTCTAAACCAGGTCTAAACTAGGTCTAAACCAGGTCTAAACCAGGTCTAAACCAGGTCTGAACCAGGTCTGAACCAGGTCTAAACCAGGTCTAAACCAGGTCTGAACCAGGACTAAAACAGGTCTAAAACAGGTCTAAACCAGGTTAAACCAGGACTAAACCAGGACTAAACCAGGTCTAAACAGGTCTAAACAGGTCTAAACCAGGTCTGAACCAGGACTAAACCAGGTCTAAACCAGGTCTAAACCAGGTCTGAACCAGGACTGAACCAGGTCTAAACCAGGTCTAAACCAGGTCTGAACCAGGTCTAAACCAGGTCTAAACCAGGTCTGAACCAGGACTAAACCAGGACTAAACCAGGTCTAAACCAGGTCCAGGATTAAACCAGGACTAAACCAGGTCTGAACCAGGTTAAAACCAGGACTAAACCAGGTCTAAACCAGGTCTAAACCAGGTCTAAACCAGGTCTAAACCAGGTCTAAACCAGGATTAAACCAGGACTAAACCAGGTCTGAACCAGGATTAAACCAGGACTAAACCAGGTCTGAACCAGGACTAAACCAGGACTAAACCAGGTCTGAACCAGACCTTAACAATTACAATTATAAAAGTTATAATGTAGTATATAGTATTAGTAATGATTTTTTTTTTCTTTTTTTTTGGTCGATGAATAAGAAGCTGCCTCGTCTGTTCAATCACATCGTTTTAGATCAATATTATGATTTAAAATGTCCAAATTAAATCAGAATAATCCAGGGGAGTTTGATTTAAACCATCTCTGCTGCTTCTGGAAAACATCTCCTGAAAATCCCTCCTCTCCTTTCCACAAACCCGGGATTTATGTCTGTGTTTTTAAAGCAGCTCCGTGTTCCTCGTCTGTTTATCTCGTGAATAATGCAGCGAGCGAGAAATGTTCTTTACTCCAGATCTCCTGTACACACGTCCATCTGCGCCCGGGTCCTCCTCCCGCTTCCTCCTTCACCATGACGACCGACGCATGGCAACCGCATCCACGTCCCGCATAGCAACCGGCGCCGGGAGGAAGCAGCCGAGGGAACAGCCGAAAGAACATCCCGACGACGACGAGGAGGAGACTGCGCTTCAGACCTCCACAAACATGTCGGGAAAGGCAAGGGATTCTGGGATTTGTGGTTTTGGGGGATTCGACGGTCAGAAACGAGGACGGAGCAGCTCGGAGTTTAGTTTTCTCATGCGTTAAAGCCACATGATGGAACTTTTTTTTATCTTTTTTTAATCAACATTAAAAAAATAAATAAATAAATAAGTAATGCTGTTTTCATGGAGAATGTTCCAGAGTGTGGCTTTAACTTTGGATTTCTAAACAATAATACAAGAGACGTATGATCTGGTTTAGTCCTGGTTTAGTCTTGGTTCAGTCCTGGTTTAATCCCGGTTTAGTCCTGTTTTAGTCCTGGTTTAGTCCTGGTTTAGTCCTGATTTAGTCCTGGTTTAGTCCTGGTTTAGTCCTTAGTCCTGGTTTAGTCCTGGTAGTCCTGGTTTAGTCCTGGTTTAGTCCTGGTTAGTCCTGGTTCTAGTCCTGGTTTAGTCCTGGTTTAGTCCTGGTTTAGTCCTGGTTGTCCTTCTAGTCCTGGTCTAGTCCTGGTTCAGTCCTGGTTGGTCCTGGTCTAGTCCTGGTTAGTCCTGGTCTAGTCCTGGTCTGGTTCTAGTCCTGGTCTCCTAGTCCTGGTCTGGTCTGGTTTAGTCCTGGTTTCCTGGTCCTGGTCTGGTCCTGGTTTAGTCCTGGTCTAGTCCTGGTCTAGTCCTGGTGTCCTGGTCCTGGTTTAGTCCTGGTTTAGTCTAGTCCTGTCTGGTCCTGGTCTGGTTTAGTCCTGGTTTAGTCCTGGTCTGGTTGGTCCTGGTTTAGTCCTGGTCCTGTCTAGTTCCTGGTTTAGTCCTGGTCCTGATTTAGTCCTGGTTTAAGTCCTGGTTTAGTCCTGGTTTAGTCCTGGTTTCAGTCCTGGTTTAGTCCTCCTGGTTAGTCCTGGTTTAGTCCTGGTCTAGTCCTGGTTAGTCCTGGTGGTTTAGTCCTGGTTTAGTCCTGGTCTAGTCCTGGTTTAGTCCTGGTTTAGTCCTGGTTTAGTCCTGGTCTAGTCAGTCCTGGTCTAGTCCTGGTTTAGTCCTGTCTAGTCCTAGTCCTGGTCTAGACCTGGTCTGGTCCTGGTTTAGTCCTGGTCTAGTCCTGGTCTAATCCTGGTTCCTGGTTCAGTCCTGGTCCTAGTCCTGGTCTAGTCCTGGTCTAGTCCTGGTCTAGTCCTGGTCTTCCTAGTCCTGGTCTAGTCCTGGTTTAGTCCTGGTCTGAGTCCTGGTCTGGTCCTGGTTTAGTCCTGGTCTAGTCCTGGTCTAGTCCTGGTCTGGTCCTGGTTTCCTGGTTTAGTCCTGGTCCTGGTCTGGTCTAGTCCTGGTCTAGTCCTGGTCTGGTCCTTTAGTCCTGGTTTAGTCCTGGTGGTCTGGTGGTCCTGGTTTTAGTCCTGGTTTAGTCCTGGTCTAGTCCTGGTCTTCTGGTCCTGGTTTTAGTCCTGGTTTAGTCCTGGTCTAGTCCTGGTTTAGTCCTGGTCCTGGTTTAGTAGTCCTCCCTGGTTTAGTCCTGGTCCTGGTCTGGTCCTGGTTTAGTCCTGTCTTAGTCCTGGTTTAGTCCTGGTCTGGTCCTGGTTTAGTCCTGGTTTAGTCCTGGTTTCCTGGGTTTAGTCCTGTTTAGTCCTGGTCCTGGTTAGTCCTGGTTTAGTCCTGGTCTGGTCCTGGTTTTAGTCCTGGTTTAGTCCTGGTGGTCCTGGTTTAGTCCTGGTTTAGTCCTGGTCTGGTCCTGGTTTAGTCCTGGTTAGTCCTGGTTTAGTCCTGGTTTAGTCCTGGTTTAGTCCTGGTTAGTCCTGGTCTATGGTCCTGGTCTTAGTCCTGGTTTAGTCCTGGTCTAGTCCTGGTTTAGTCCTGGTTTAGTCCTGGTTTAGTCCTGGTCTAGTCCTGGTTTAGTCCTGGTCTGGTCCTGGTTTAGTCCTGGTTTAGTCCTGGTCTGGTCCTGGTTTAGTCCTGGTTAGTCCTGGTTTAGTCCTGGTCCTGGTTTAGTCCTGGTCTAGTCCCTGGTCTGTCCTGGTAGTCCTGGTTTAGTCCTGGTCTAGTCCTGGTTAGTCCTGGTTTAGTCCTGGTTTAGTCCTGGTCTGGTCTGGTCTGGTAGTCCTGGTTAGTCCTGTTAGTCCTGGTCTGGTCCTGGTCTAGTCCTGGTCTAGTCCTGGTCCTGGTAGTCCTGGTCCTGTAGGTCCTGGTGTCCTGTCCTGTCAGTCCTGGTTTAGTCCTGGTTTAGTCCTGGTCTGGTCTGGTCCTAGTCCTGGTTTAGTCCTGGTCTGGTCCTGGTTTAGTCCTGGTTTGTCCTGGTTTAGTCCCTGGTCTAGTCCTGGTTTCCTGGTTAGTCCTGGTTTAGTCCTGGTTTGGTCCTGGTTTAGTCCTGGTCTGGTCTCCTGGTCCTGGTCTAGTCCTGGTCTGGTCCTGGTTTAGTCTGGTTAGTCCTGGTTTCCTGGTCTAGTCCTGGTTTAGTCCTGGTCTAGTCCTGGTCTAGTCCTGGTCCTGGTCTAGTCCTGTTTAGTCCTAGTCTGGTTGGTCCTGGTCTAGTCCTGTTCTAGTCCTGGTCCTGGTCTGGTCCTGGTTTAGTCCTGTCTGGTCCTCTATAGTTCCTGGTCTCCCTTTAGTCCTGTTTTAGTCCTGGTCTGGTCCTGGTCTAGTCCTGGTTTAGTCTTCCTGGTCTGGTCCTGGTCTAGTCTGGTTTAGTCCTGGTTTAGTCCTAGTCCTGGTTTAGTCCTGGTTAGTCCTCAGTCCTGGTCCTGGTCCTGGTCTGGTCCTGGTTAGTCCTGGTCTGGTCCTGGTTCCTGGTCTAGTCCTGGTTTAGTCCTGGTTTAGTCCTGGTCTAGTCTGTCTGGTCCTGGTTTTAGTCCTGGTTTGTCCTGGTCCTGGTTTAGTCCTGGTTCTGGTCCTGGTCTAGTCCTGGTCTGGTCCTGGTTTAGTCCTGGTTTAGTCCTGGTCTGGTCCTGGTTTAGTCCTGGTCTGGTCCTGGTTTTAGTCCTGGTTTAGTCCTTGGTTTAGTCCTGGTTTAGTCCTGGTCTAGTCCTGGTTTAGTCCTGGTCTGGTCCTTAGTCCCTGGTCCTGGTCCCTGGTTTAGTCCTGGTTTAGTCCTGGTTTAGTCCTGGTCTGGTCCTGGTTTAGTCCTGGTTTAGTCCTGGTTAGTCCTGGTCTTGTCCTGTCCTGGTCCTGTCTGGTCTGGTCTGGTCCTGGTTTAGTCCTGGTTTAGTCCTGGTCCTGGTCCTGGTCCTGGTCCTGGTCCTGTTTAGTCCTGGTTTAGTCCTGGTCTAGTCCTGGTCTGGTCTGTCCTGTTTAGTCCTGGTTTAGTCCTGGTCTGTCTAGTCCTGGGTTTAGTCCTGGTTTAGTCCTGGTTTGGTCCTGGTTTAGTCCTGGTCTGTTTGGTCCTGGTCTTGGTCCTGGTTTAGTCCTGGTTTAGTCCTGGTTTAGGTCTGGTCCTGGTCTGTCCTGTTAGTCCTGGTCTAGTCCTGTTTAGTCCTGGTTTAGTCCTGGTTTAGTCCTGGTCTGGTCCTGTCCTGTCTAGTCCTGGTCTTTAGTCCTGGTTTAGTCCTGGTTTAGTCCTGGTTTAGTCCTGGTCAGTCCTGGTTTAGTCCTGGTTTAGTCTGGTCCTGGTTAGTCCTGGTCTGGTCTAGTCCTGGTCTAGTCCTGGTCTGGTCCTGGTTTAGTCCTGGTCTGGTCTGGTTTAGTCCTGGTCTGGTCCTGGTTTAGTCCTGGTTTAGTCCTGGTTTAGTCCTGGTTTAGTCCTGGTTTAGTCTGGTCCTGGTCTGGTTCCTGGTCTAGTCCTGGTTTAGACCTGGTCTGGTCCTGGTCTAGTCCTGGTTTAGACCTGGTCTAGTCCCTGGTTTAGTCCTGGTTTAGTCCTGGTTTAGTCCTGGTTTAGTCCTGTTTAGTCCTGGTCCTTAGTCCTGGTCTAGTCCTGGTCTAGGTCCTGGTTTAGTCCTGGTTTAGTCCTGGTCTGGACTCACCCCTCTGAGGGAATCTTCTTGACTCGTTCTTTCTCCGTCGTCAGTTCCACTTCGGCGCTTTTGCTCCTGAACAGTTTTTCTTCGGGTCCGTTGACTTTGAGCAGCGGAGGAGACTGACGCTCCTCAGACAGAGCCTGGACCGGGACACAGACGGAACCGGGTCAGAACCGGGTCAGAACCGGGTCACAGACGGAACCGGGTCAGAACCGGGTCAAACGAACCGGTCAGACCGGGTCACCGCGGTCAGAACCGGGTCAGAACCGGGTCACAGACGGAACCGGGTCAGAACCGGGTCAGAACCGGGTCAGAACCGGGTCAGAACACGGGACCGGTCAGAACCGGGTCAGAACCGGGTCAGACCGGAACCGGGTCCAGAACGGGTCAGAACCGGGTCAGAACCGGGTCACAGACGGAACCGGGTCAGAACCGGGTCAGAACCGGGTCACCGGGTCACAGACGGAACCGGGTCAGAACCGGGTCACAGACGGAACCGGGTCAGAACCGGGACACAGACGGAACCGGGTCAGAACCGGGTCAGAACTGACGGAACCGGGTCAGAACCGGGTCACAAACGGGTCAGAACCGGGTCACAACCGGGTCACAACCGGGTCAGAACCGGGTCAGGGCTCGACGGTCAGTGAAAGGACCGGGTTTCAAAGGTCAGAAAGAAAGAGTTTAAATTGTTTACATCAGAGCTTTAAATACGAATAAAAATAAAAAAAGTCCATGTGAACTTTTAATTCCAAATGAAAATTATTATATGAACTTAATTCTGATTTTAAAGCTGAATTCATTTCTTCCTGGATCATGTTTCACGTTTATTCTTCTTAAAAATCCGATTTAACTAACCAGGACTAAACCAGGACTAAACCTGATCTAAACCAGGACTAAACCAGGACTAAACCAGACTAAACCAAGACTAAACCTGATCTAAACCAGACTAAACCAGGAACTAAACCTGAAACCAGACTGAAACCAAGAACTAAACCTGATCTAAACCGGACTAACCAGGACTAAACCAAGAACTAAACCCTAAACCAGGTGATCTAAACCTGAAGGACTAAACCAGGACTGAAACCAGACTAAACCAAGGACTAAACCTGATAAACTAAACCATCTAAACCGGACTAAACCAGGGACTAAACCAAAACCAGACTAAACTAAACCTGATCTAAACCAGGACTGAAACCAAGACTAAACCTAAAACAGGACTAAACTAAACCAAGACTAAACCTGATCTAAACCAGGACTAACTAGACTAAACCTATCTAAACCAGGACTAAACCAGGACTAAACCAGATCTAAACCAGGACTAAACCAGGACTAAACCAGACTAAACCTGAAACTAAACCAGGTCTAGGAAAACCATAAAACCAGGTCTAAACTAAACCAAAGGTCACTCTAAACCTGAAACCAGGTCTAAACCAGGTCTAAACCAGGTGAACCAGGTCTGAACCAGGTCTAAACCAGGTCTAACCACCAGGTCTAAACCAGAAACCAGTCTAAAAACCAGGTCTAAACCATCTAAACAGGTCTGAACCAGGTCTAAACTGAAACCAGGTCTGAACCAGGTCTAAACGGTCTAAACCAGGTCTGGTCTAAAGGTCCCAGTCTAAACCAGGTCTAAACCAGGTTCTGAAACCAGGTCTAAACCAGGTCTAAACCAGGTCTGAACCACCAGGTCTAAACCAGGCTCTAAACCAGGTCTGAACCAACTAAACCAGACCAGGTCTAAACCAGGTCTAAAACCAGGTCTAAACCAGGTCTAAACCAGGTCTAAACCAGGTCTAACCAGGTCTAACCAGTGAACCAGGTCTGAACAGGTCTGGAAACCAGGTCTGAACCAGGTCTAAATCAAGACTAAATCAGGACTAAACCTGGTTTTAAAATCTAAATCAGGTCTTAACTAGGTCTAAATCAGGTCCAAAACAGATCTAAACCAGGACTACACCAGAGACCATTGGTGACAGTTGGGACATGGATCTAAACCAAGACTAGACCAGGACTACAACAGGACTAACCTCGGGACCATAGGTGAGAGAGGAACAGAGACCTAAACCAGGATTAATCCAGGTCTGAACTAGGTCTATACCAGGTCTAAACCAGGACTAAACCAGGTCTAAACCAGAACTAAACCAGGTCTAAACCGGGACTAAACCAAGATAAATCCAGGTCTAAACCAGGGATCATTGGTGAGAGTTCTGAGAAACCTAAACCAGCATTAAACCAGGACTAAACTAGATCTAAATCAGGTCTAAACCAGGTCTAAACCAAGACTAAACCAGGTCTAAACCAGGTCTAAACCAGGTCTAAACCAACCCAGGACCAGACCAGTTCTCTCCTATATTCATTTATATATATGATAGATTTAAAAATGACTAAGAATAATCCATAATCGTCTCCGCTCTCCTTCCTCTTCCTCCTCTTCCTCTTCATCTCTCTCTTTTTTTTCTCTCTTCTTCGTTTCTGAATCAGTCCCTTGTTTTTTTCTCTCATCTGCAGCTTTTATCCAGACGAGTTTCTGTTATTGAACTGAACACGAACTCTGAGAAAACCTCTGCACGTCTAAAAAAGAACGAGAGAAAAGAACGAACTGGTCCAGGTTTAGTCCTGGTTTAGTCCTGGTTTAGTCCTGGTTTAGTCCTGGTTTAGACCTGGTTTAGTCCTGGTTTAGAGTCCTGGTTTAGTCCTGGTTTAGTCCTGGTTTAGTCCTGGTTTAGTTGGTTTTAGAGTCCTGGTTTAGTCCTGGTTTAGACCTGGTTTAGTCCTGGTTTAGTTAGTCCTGGTTTAGTCCTGTTTTAGTTCTGGTTCAGTCCTTGTTTAATCCAGGTTTAACCCTGGTTTAGTCTTATTTTTAGTCCTGGTCTAGAGCTGGTTTAAGTCCTGGTTTAGTCCTGGTTTAGCCCTGGTCTAGTCCTGGTTCAGTCCTGGTTTAGTCCTGGTTTAGCTCTGGTCTAGTCCTGGTCTAGTCCTGGTTTAAGTCCTGGTTCAGTCTTGTTTTTAGTCCTGGTTTAGTCCTCATTTTGTCCTGGTCTAGACCTGCTTCAGTCCTGTTTTAGACCTGGTTCAGTCCTGGTTTAATCCAGGTTTAGCCCTGGTTTAGTCTTATTTTTAGTCCTGGTCTAGTCCTGGTCTAGTCCTGCTCTAGTCCTGGTCTAGTCCAGGTCTAGTCCTGGTTTAGTCCTGGTTAGTCCTGGTTTAGTCCTGGTTCAGTCCCAGTGGGTTTAGTCCTGGTTTAGTCCTGGTTTAGTCCTGGTTTAGGCCTGGTTTAGTCCTGTGAAGTGTTGATGTATTTTTTCTTACTCCATAAATTCCAAATAATCACTTTCATTAGGAATTACGTGTTTACAATTTTTTTTTAAGCAGAATTCATTTTTATTGAGATTGAAATGATTTTTTATTCAAATTTAATTCATTTTTATTCAGATTTTAATAAATTTTTATTCATATTTAAATCTCTCGTGCGCGGCTCGTGCTTGTTTCTCTTTTACACATATGAAGTTCATGTGATTTATAATTTATGGAGTTTCATCAAAATTACATCAGACCGTGTTCATATCAAAGCTACAAACCCTCGCCGTCGCCGTCGCCGTCGCCGTCGCCCTCGTTCTCGTTCTCGTTCTCGCCGTCATTGTGTTACTCGCCACTTTTATCGCTCTAATTAACACTTTAAAAACACGAGAATCTGGTTCATGTTTGTGTAAAAACTCGAGTCCGATCGGTTCAGCGGCTTCAGGAGGAAGATCTGGACCGGACTCTGGGTCTGGGATCAGGGTCCAGTTTGAGTTCTGTGGTTTAGGATTTTTTGTTTTTATAGTTCTGGACCAGGACTAAACCAGGACTAAACTAAACAGGACTAAACCAGACTAAACCAGGACTAAACCAGGACTAAACCAGATCTAAACCAGATCTAAACCAGGACTAAACCAGGACTAAAACAGGACTAAACCAGGACTAAAACAGGACTAAACCAGATCTAAACCAGGACTAAACCGGAACTAAACCAGGACTTAACCAGGACTAAACCAAACCTAAACCAGGGCTAGACCAGGACTAAACCAGGACTAGACCAAGGCTAACCCAGGACTAAACCTGGACTAAACCAGGTCTAAAGCCCCGAAACAATGGAGCAGAGTGTCCACAAAGCGCAATCGGGCGACAGCTGCACTGAGCCCCAAGTGGCCCCATGTAGCCCCGTGTGGTCCAGTGTGGTCCAGTGTGGTCCAGTGTGGTCCAGTGTGGTCCAGTGTGGTCCAGTGTGGTCCAGTGTGACCCAGTGTGGTCCAGTGTGGTCCAGTGTGGTCCAGTGTGACCCAGTGTGACCCAGTGTGGTCCAGTGTGGTCCAGTGTGACCCAGTGTGGTCCAGTGTGGTCCAGTGTGGTCCAGTGTGGTCCCAGTGTGGTCCAGTGTGGTCCAGTGTGGTCCAGTGTGGTCCAGTGTGACCCAGTGTGGTCCAGTGTGGTCCCAGTGTGACCAGTGTGGACCCAGTGTGGTCCAGTGTGGTCCAGTGTGACCCAGTGTGACCCAGTGTGGTCCAGTGTGGTCCAGTGTGACCCAGTGTGGTCCAGTGTGGTCCAGTGTGGTCCAGTGTGGTCCAGTGTGACCCAGTGTGGTCCAGTGTGGTCCAGTGTGGTCCAGTGTGGTCCAGTGTGGTCCAGTGTGGTCCAGTGTGGTCCAGTGTGGTCCAGTGTGGTCCAGTGTGGTCCAGTGTGGTCCAGTGTGGTCCAGTGTGACCCAGTGTGGTCCAGTGTGGTCCAGTGTGACCCAGTGTGGTCCAGTGTGGTCCAGTGTGGTCCAGTGTGGTCCAGTGTGACCAGTGTGAGTGTGGTCCAGTGTGGTCCCAGTGTGGTCCAGTGTGGTCCAGTGTGGTCCAGTGTGGTCCAGTGTGACCCAGTGTGGTCCAGTGTGGTCCAGTGTGACCCAGTGTGGTCCAGTGTGGTCCAGTGTGACCCAGTGTGGTCCAGTGTGGTCCAGTGTGGTCCAGTGTGGTCCAGTGTGGTCCAGTGTGGTCCAGTGTGGTCCAGTGTGTCCCAGTGTGGTCCAGTGTGGTCCAGTGTGGTCCAGTGTGGTCCAGTGTGGTCCAGTGTGGTCCAGTGTGGTCCAGTGTGGTCCAGTGTGGTCCAGTGTGACCCA